GAGGAGAGGAGAGGAGAGGAGAGGAGAGGAGAGGAGGGAAAGGAAGGGGAGGGGAGGGGAGGGGAGAAAGTGACTACATTGTTCAGGGTCCCACCTTCCATGTTATTGCCAATGAAATCCCACTCCTCCCTTCCCCCAGTCCAGAGTATTTGGAGCTCTGTTTTGCCAGGACTGTTCCTAAAATGTTGCTTCCATGTTAGAAGTCAGGTCCTGGGGCAGGCACCCAAGGTTTCCTTAAGATAAACCAGAACTCTGCAGTGAGTACTTTTGGGGCCCAGTGGGGGAGGACAGCAGCCTGAAGCCCCCACAGTGGCCAAAATGGACCTGCTACTTGTGGTCAGGTAGGCCATGGACTCAGGTTTTCTAAGGCCAAGTGTTGAGCATTGTTTTTTATAGCACTGCACCACCTGCCCAAACCCCTCTCTCATCGTTACCCCCATCCTACCAATCCCACAAGGCCCAGAATCAATCCCACCTTGGCCCTCCCAAATCTCTCCCAGTCTGAATGCTTACAAGGCTCCACAGCTCCTGCCTGATGTGAGTGGCATTGTGCCTACAGGGCCAGAAAATTGCCTGAGGCTGGGACATCTGAAGCCAGCATGGAGGCTGCATGGAAGACAGGCTTTGGCGCCCCCATTGCTCGTGATATTTATCTAAGAACTATGTATTGAACATCTATTATTAGTAGCAGCTGACAGAGTCTTCAGGCAGTTCTGACATGACCCGGAGCCTCTTGTCCTCTGGTGCGCCTATGGCTGCATCAGGCACACGGCCCGAGCTCGAGCTCTTGTATGGTCCTGAGCGTGCCACTGCTCTGCTTCCAGGCCTGTAGTGGGTCCCTCAGAATAGACCCAGAGCTTTCTACCATTGACCTTGTCAACTCACCTCTCCCTGCCCCTACCAGCACCCCTGCATAGGCCCAGAGTGTTGGCTCTACAGTCTTTCTATTCTGAGACCGGTCACCCTTGTTGCCGCCTCTGGCCTTTGCACGTGCCGCCTGACCACCTTGACTCGACTCCCGTGCACCCTGCCCTTCATCTGGGTGTCACCTCTTCCCAGAAGCCTTCCTTGGCTACCAGGCTGTCCCCTTCCTGGGATCCCATCACTGCCTTATTCTAACCCGACCATCATGGAACTGCTGCCAGCGTGTCTGTTTCCCTTTCCCAAACACGGGCCCTGGAAGGTCAGCCCATCTGTTTGCTTCTTTCCTATAGCCCCAGCCTTTAAATTCAATTGTTGGAGGCAACAATGGTAGACAATTAACTGAACACGTGGATGAGCAAGGTGCCACTTTCACATATAGCAAGTGTCCAGGAATGAATGGTATGTGGGACATCTAACTGCCCAAAGGTTAAAGTCATACAAAGTCTATGGGCTGACCAAATAGCTCAGTGGATTAAAGCACCTGCAAGCAGGGGCCAGGGGTTCGATTCCCCAGGCCTGCCATGCTGGCCCCACCCCCGGGGTGCACTGAGACAGCAACTGAGACTGGGCGTGGTGGCACGTCCCTGTAATCCCGGCTCTTGGGAGGCTATAAACAGGCAGATCACTACGAGTCCAATCTGGCAGTGAGACCCTGAACACCCTGTAGACTTTTCCCTAAAATACAGAAAAATAAATAAAAATAAAGTGACAAATTCCAGAGACAGTGTCATCTTTGAAGCCCTTTATTCCCAGCAGTTCCCATCGGTTACTCAGCGAGCCAACATTCATGTTACCAATCAGGGCACCCATTCATCTTTCCCCAGACCCTGCAGTCAAGCCCTCACATCCAAAACAGCACTGGCGCCCAGAGAGTTAAAGACATCTCACTGCTGCAGAGGGCAGGAGTGCCCTTGTGAACCAGTCTTCCTCTCCTGGAAGGCTGTTCAGCTAGGAGGCAAGTATCTCAGCCAGTTTGGGTGTGACTGCCCAACAGGGAAATAAGTGAGGTACAGTACAACGGTTCTGGGCACCTGGGGGTAAAAAGGCACATTATGCAGTCCCCTGGAGAAAGCGCAGGCCATTCTCCACCTTCCCAATACACATTTTCTCACTCTTCACTGACTTTTAATCTCATCCCCTGGTCTATGAGAAACCATAACCCACATGCAACTGAATACATTTTTATTTTCCCTTCATAAGAGAGCCTTGGTTCCACACGGATTTCATTTTTCTCCCTATGCCCATGAGAACATCCAATTTTGTTCAGGTCCCTTTCAACGGCACTTAATAAATATACATTCTGGGACCTGACAGAACAGGCTGTCCTGTTTCAAACCACCTCACATGCTGCCTGTTTAAACAGCCTGTACAAAGCTCAGGTGGGGCTCATCTTAGTTTGCCCTGTGCCATCTCTGACCCCAGGTCTGTTTGTCCACCATGTGCATCTAGGGCAGAGGTCCTCGGCCTGGCTGGGGAGGTTCCTGAGGAGAAGGGCCCAGGCCACCCCAGGAGCCTCTCTGGCTAGCTTTGACTTCTGGTCTAAAGATTCCCAAGCAAAGACAGAGCAGCTGGGCTGAGAATCCCCAAGCCAGGACCCCAGCACACAGTGGGCTCCTGATCAGAATACTTAGCACACTTCGTAATATCTTCTCCTGTGATCCCTATTTTTATCAGAAATCTGAGTAGGAAAGAAAAAAATGCATCAAGAGCATCTTGTGAAGTGAATATGGGGCTGGGAAATGGATTGTGGGGGCTGAGGTTCTCTGGCTTTATGCAGCATCTTCCTGCTTATACAGGCCGAGGGTAGCACACTGTAGACTGTCTGACACTGACAGCTATGTTTTTTGTTTTTTGTTTTTTTTTTTCTCAAGAGGCCTTCAGATACCAGAGCTAACAGTGTTCAGCACTCTTGCTATAACAGAGACTTTCTTGGAAATAAATCTAAATTGTCACCTGTGCCACACACATTCTGTGAGGGCCAGTTACAAACCTGTAAAAGCTACATGACGATGCCAGTGTGTCACATTCTCCCCTTTCTGAGAAGCCTGTGATGTACCTTGGTCCAACACCACACCCAGCACTGCCCCAGTAGCCAGTGTCCTGGGACAGGACATAATTTGTGGGGCATCTCGGTTTCCAGGCTCAAGATAGGGGTGACTCACTCAAGAGTTCAAGGGACCAGCCACCGAGGAGGCAGCACAGTCCCATGCTGCATAGCCACCTACAAACAGCATGTCTGCCGGAGGTCCCATATATTATGCTGTCTAGTGGTATCAGAGCTAGTAAGCTTGTAAGAATACAACCTATGCCAGTCCTGCAACACAATCTCTTAACAAACATGCCTGAGAATGTACCCTTATTATTAATCCACCATGAACACATTGAGAAAGACCCCAAGTACAGGCTGGGTTTAAGGAAAAAAGACGCTATGCTGATGGCCTATGTTTGCTGCCATGGGCATGGGCATCAGGGTTGGCAGCATGCCCACCTGCCAGTCCAGGTCAGCGGATGCCCGGGGCCATCCTAACACCACTGATGGCACTCATTCTGGTGTCACATTTTACAGTTTCCAAGGAACCTCTGCACACTTAGCCCCTAGCCAGTCTCACAACCTGGATGGGAGAACTGGTGTAGCATCCTATGTCAAAGGCCACAGCCAACTGACCTTGGGCTTCCTGCTGCCTCCAGGCCCAGGGAGGCAACCTGAAACTACGGGGCTCCCCAGCTATTCCACCCAGAAACAGGAAGCTATGGCATTACCTCACCTCCCCACCCACCAGACTGCAGTCAGCGTCCTCAGAGTTTCTGCACTGATTTGCATGCTCCTACTCCAGGGAAAACAGTGGCATGCTCCAATCGCTGCCGGCAGTATTATACACCTTACCTAACATGCCATCAAAATCCCCTGTGTCCTGGAGTCTGCTGAGAATTTGCCTACACATTCCAGAGCTGTGACTGGGTCACACCCACTCCCAGGTCCAGGAAGACTCCCCTGGGAACCTCTCCACTGACACTAAGAGGACTCTCAGGGGTTCACTGTCCAAGATAACTCAGATCCCAACATGGAAAAACAAAAACTGACCAGCCAGCCCTGGTGTCCTCAGAGTCCACACAGAGGAAGTACACACTAGGGCCAGGCAATCCTGTATATCTCCAGCCCCTTCCCTGCAACCACAGAGCACACAGGTGGCACTCACCGGGGCTACCCCTCCCCATGGCCAGGCCCAGACAGAGGCACAGATAAGACCGGCTACACGCTATGGCAAGTCCGAGCCAATCAGCCAGGACCCTAGGTTGCACAGGCTTTCTTACGCAGACACGAGTGATCGGGGCCTCCCACACCAGGCGCCTCCACTCACCTGGCCTGATTCCCCCATTTCCCACTCCTGCACTTTCTTTGCTTTACTTCTTAACAGGGTCACAGCCTCTAAGCCCCACCCATTCCAGGGACGGCCCCTAGGAGGGCAGAGTCCAGCCCCACGGGGCGAGGTTTGGGGCCCTGGCCAGGAAGCCAGAAGGCACATATCCCTTCTGTCCGTTCACTTCCACCAGGCTCCACTCCGGGTTCCCCTTCTTGTCGTGGGCCTCCAGGACGGTCACGGGCTGGCCTGGCTGCAGACTCACTTCATGTGTGCTCCTGGCCGTGAAGGGGTACGCTGCTACCACCTGCAACACATGGCCAGTGACACGGACATGGTCAGTCCCAAATGCCCGATGACCCAGCTCCCATCCCACCCAACCCTGGCCCCATTCTGGGCAGTCCCTGCCTCCCAAGTTCACCCCTTGCACTAAGACAATATCTGCTGGTCCCACAGTGAGTCATCCCTGTGTGGCCGGCTCTCTCCCCCACTTTTCTGGGGTTTTTTTTCCCCATAATTTTATCATTTTATTGGTCCCATATTGTCAGGGAAGGGAATTGAGAGAAGGCAAAGAATTTGCTCAAAATCATAAAGCTGTGAAGACAGGCCGGCTTCACCTCAGAACAGGTGTTCTCCACCCACTGTGGCCAGTGGCTGAGCAGACTCAGTAGCCTGCCCCGCCCCAGATGTAAAGGGTTCGTCAGTTCAGGCCAGTTTCCCAGGCTCAGGTAGAACCAGGTGTGTGGGTAACTTGGTTACTTTTTAGGGAAAAGCACTGAACTGGAGAAAAATGGAAGGGGGGAGGCATGTATTAAGCTACTATTTAACTTCTTTGGGCCTCAGTTACATCATGTAAAACATGGGAATGATATTCTACCCTCTTGGTCATTGAGGAAAATGAGTGAATGAATGAATGAATGAATGCATGAATACGTGGGGCTTCACAGAGTGCATGGCACATAGTAATGCCCTAATGAGTGGAGACTACTTTAAACTCTTTACCATTACTGTTATTACAGATGGTGAAGCCTCAGGAACAACAGCTGCATGGAGGATGCCAGGAACAGATAAAGCTGCTGTGTTCAGGTAGGGGGACCACTGCACCTGCCCACACTTTAACAACCCACACTGGCAGAGCAAAGGGGCAGTGGCAACCTCAGGGCTTTTCCCACAGGGGCAGGGCGGGCCTGTGCTGACTGATCGGGCCCTGGAGTTGGACTTCTGTCCCTTGCAGCTCCTGCTGTACTGCTTCTGGCTGAAGTCTGAGGGTCTTGGTCACAGTGGTGTCTCTCCAAAAGATGTCTATGCATTTCTGTGCCCCAGCCCACAGCACCCCGTGGCTGGTCCTCAGGGCATCTGGGATCCTGCCCCTTGCTGTCCAGAGCCTTTCTGTTGTGCATCCCTCACTCACAAAGCACTCCTTGTCTGCTGATTATGGGAATGCAGCCTCCATTTGGGGAGGCTTCCTGCACCCTGCCTGGCTCCCCAGCTCTTCCCACCCTCACAACTACTCTGTTGAGCCACTTCTGCCCTCCAGGACTCTGTGCATCCAAAGCTAACCCCTGAGGGGGCTTCCCATCTTGTCTCTCTCTCTGTCTCTGTCTCTCTCTCTGTCTCTGTCTCTGTCTCTGTCTCTCTCTTTCTCTCTCTCTCAATATAATTTATAGACTCTAACATTTTTAGTTTATTCGCTGATGCGTATAACCTCTAACCAATTTCAGAACATCTTCATCACTCCAAGAAAAAAATCCATAGCAGACAGCAGTCATCCCTTCTTCCCTCCCCCTCAACCTCCAGCCTACTTTGTCTTTCTGTGGATGTGCTTATTCTGGACAAGTACATAAACAGAATCCTACGACCTTCCTGACTGTGCCTGACTTAGCATTATGTGCTCGAGGTTTCACCCAGCTTGTAGCATGTGTCACTGCTTCATTCTTCAGATTACGACAGAATAATATTCCATCATGTGCATGTGCTGTTTATACATTCCTACTGATGGATGCTTGAGTTGTTTCTGCTTTTGGGTTCTCTTGAATAATTATGCCACGAACATGTATGCACAAGTTTCCCACTGCTTTTAAGAGACAGGCTGATACCCTTCTGAGGCCACAGGGCCCACGGGCCTGTCCCTGCCCTGCTCATCAGCAGCACCTTGCTCTACTCTCCCCTCTGCCTTCCCCCACCCTCGGGGCTCCTTCGGTTCCACATCCATCCGTGTCTGTCTCCTGTCACTGAGCCTTTGCACATGCTGTGCCTGCTTGCTGGAGAGCTCTTGCCGTCTGTGCCCTGGTACAACACCCACTTCCCGTTCCTGTCTAGGAAAAAGCATCACTCTTCCCAGAAAAACTTCTCTACATCACAATCTCTGGCACTTATCTGTCCTAATTACTGCAGATGTTCATGCTATTATTTTACCCATCACTGCTCTCCCCCAGATTATAAGCATGAGGAGGGCAAGGGCTGTGACTTGCTTCTGTTCACCGCTACATCTTGCACCTGCAGCCCTGCTCGGCGACTTGAATGAATGCATGCGTGCATGCTCGTGATGGGGGACCAGGGGTTAGCTCTCTGCCAACAATGTGGCAGGGATAGAAGCTCCTCCCTCCAGATTCCACCCTTGTCTAAAATATAGACACTGTCACTGATTGAGACTCTGGCTTTACAGGGTCCCTGTAGATATGAGGAGCTTGGACTCAGACAAAGGTGAAACTCTAAGCTCCAGTCTGGGTGGCTGAGGGAAGCAAGCCCCTAGACTCACCTGGGTCACAGCTGGAACCGAGGGCACTGGGGTGGGGGCAGACTCTGGTGCTAGATCATGGGAGCCCTGCTGCCACCCTGCTTGTCCTCTGAGCTCCTCCTTGGGAACGACGTGGTAAAACTGCAGTTTCCCAGCCGGCACATAGCCCCGATGTCCTAGGGAATGAGCAGAGGGTTTTCTGGTCATAAGACACCTTCTCATCCATTACTGTGGTGGGGAAAGTCAGCGGTAGTGAGCACTTCCAACCCAACTGCCCTGCACTCGTGAGGACATGGAAGCGGCCCCCCCCCCCCGCCCCAGGCTCACTGCTCCTAGCTTGTTTGTTCACTTCTAGGAACAGGAGGCTCATTCCCTACTGGAGCAACCCTCTCATATTTTATCTTTTCTTTTTATTTTTTGGTACCAGGAATCAAACTCATGACTTCACACTTGCCAGGCAGGTGGTGTGCTGCTGAGCTATCTCCCTGGCCCCACTCCACTTTATGTTTTTATTCTTATTTATTTTTTCTCACTCCACTTTAAACATGTCTAAAACACACAAAAACAGGTAGGAAATCTGTTTTTCCTACTGGCTCCACTGGCCCATCCCTCTAGTGGCCACCTGAGCAAGGCCACCTCCCCTACCCAGAAGGACCTTGACCCACAGGCACAAGCTGTCCTGCTCCTCCACGGTGTTTTTGTTCCTCCTCATACATCACCTCCCCCAGGGCAATTCCAACTACCAACTGCCATCACAACAAATGGCCATCACTCCTGAGGGCTTGCTAGGTGCCAGCCCCAACAAGTGGTGCTGCAGCCTCCACAATCCCTGGAGTTGGCTGGCATCACCAGCTCCAGCTTAAGTGGAGCCAGCAGAGGTCAGAGAAGCTCTGTGACTTCCCGCAATCACAGTTAGGCACATGGCCAAGTTGGGATCCAAACCACTCCCAGGATCCCAGGGGCCTTGTTGCTTAATACTCCTTCCATTATTCCATTATTCCCCACTGAAGTCTTTTTTTTTTTTTTGGCAGAACCTGGGATTGAACTCAGGCCCTTGCCCTTGCCAGGCAAGTGCTTATTCTACTGAGCTATCTCCCTGGAACCCCCACTGAAGTTTTGTTTTTTTTTTTTAAGTGTGTGTGTGTGTGTGTGTGTGTGTGTGTGTGTGTGTGTAGCCAGCTCAGCCCACCAGGGGGCGCGGCTGGCTGGCATGTGGTGCTGGGGGATTGAACCGCGGTCCCTGTGCTTTGCTAAGCTTGTTCTAAGTAGGTGTTTTAGACCACTGAGCCATCTCACCAGCCCCCCACCCCACTGAAGTCTTAAGAGTGCTCTTTCATGATTTCTGCCTGTTTGCATCACTTTTTTAACTTTTCAAATTGACTTTTTTAAACTTGACCTTGCCCGATGTAATAACTTGAACACATTCATGGGGCTTATGGGCTACTTAGCTTTCTCTAACACATGTGAAAATAATTCAGAATGAGAATAAACTGTCTGAAGGAGAATGTAACTGCCTATCGGCCCCCTAGCAATAATCCTGAGCAACCCTACACTTGGGAGTCGCATGCCTACGTCTGGAACGGGCCTAATGAGTCCGTTTCATCATCCCAGATTTGTGGTGCCACTGGCCTTCAGCCAGTTACACAGGGGCATCCAGACCTGAGCAGCAACCCAAGGCCCGAAGCCATGATTGGCAGGAGGCACACACCCCTCCCTGCCCTCACTGCAGGCGTCCTGCACCCCTTGGTGCAGCTAGGACCAAGTGTCCCTTCTCTGGGCACATCTCCGTCCTCCAGAGTGCTGCTGAAGTTCTCCTCACACACCTGTCCACCCTCATGGTCTGTGAGGCCCACAGAGCGGGGACGTCTCATTTCTGTGGCCCAGCACAGAGGTGCCCGATGAAGGCTGTTGCAACGCAATGGTGAGTTCCTCTTTTCGGCACCCACATGCCTGTGCCTGAGGCCAGCGTCCATCACTTGTATTCATGCCCATCTTCGATTTTCACCGCCAGACGTGGGCCACAAGAGTACCCATGTCTCCTCACCAGCTTCAGCTGGGGTGGTTTTTCCAGGAGGGGAAGGTCCCTCCAAGCCCACATACCTCCTGTATCCACCAGCCAGCGGCTGCTGTGGCCTTTGGTGTCCTTGTTTTGAAGGAGGGCCACGACTTGGCCCCGTGGCAGTGTCAGGTCCAGAGTCCCTGCCCCGCTGATGTTGCTTGTCACCTGGTAAAGCTTCCCAGGACCGTACTTGCTCAGGAGAGCCTGCACCTGGTGCTCCGAGCCTGGCAGGAGTGGCTGGGGATGGGAGGGACAGAGACAGACTCAGGAGCTGGCATTAAGAGTCAAGCCCAGAGGGCTGGCCAAATAGTTCAGCAGATTAAAGCTCCTGCTTAGGCCAAGACACAGGGGATGGGAGTTCAACCCCCAGACCAGCCCAGACGGTGATTTAGACTGAGCGTAGTGGTGCGTGCCTATAATCCCAGCACTTGGGAGGCTGTAAACAGGAGGATTACTACAAGTCCAGTCTACACAGTGAGACCTTGTACACCCTGTCCTAAATAAAAAAAAAAAAAAAATAGAAAGACAAGGCCAGTTTTATCATGTGCTGAGAGCACCCTCACTAGTGGATGGATGGATCTCAGCGTCCAAAGACCTTTAGGAAGAGACGTCTATCATTCGGGATTCTCTAAAGTACCAACTCAGGTTCAGTTGTAGAACTCTTGGATTTGGGTCCAGCCTTCTGCCTCTAAAATCAAATTAAGGGGGCCTGGCCTTAGCTCAGTTGTTTAAGTGGCTGCTTCCACAAAGCTGTCAGCCTCAGGTTGCTGTAGTTGGATCCCCACAACACACCAGCCAGCCAAACCACCCCTTAGGGCATTTAGAGAAAAAAAAAAAAAAAACCTTAAAATCAAATTAAATTATCCCAGAAGAAAATGCCCACACAGATCTCTCAGCCCTTCTACACCGTGCAGGCGCCTGTGAAGAAGGGCACGCTGCCTATAGCCCCACCCTCACATATGCCTGGGCATCTACCAGGTGCGAGGGGCATGTGCTATGTGGGTGACGCAGCAGAAATGCAGGAGAGCTTCCGCTCTCATGGGAACTGCTGTCTAGCTGGGAAGAGCGAATCAGGCTGCTTTCAGCTCACCCAAAACTCTCCTGGCATTTCATTTGTTTTGTCATTCACTATTTCCAGCAACAGCATCAGCAAAAAGAGACTCAAAGGGGTGATTGTCCTCTGTTCATAAAACCAATGAGGAACTAAATATGTTAAATATATATAATTACTCCATTCTTATTTATCTTATGTGCATACAGCGCATGTGTGTTTACCATGTTCTACACAGTTGTTTTGTTGCGGGGAGGTGTTCAGTATGGAGCAGGCAGGGGGGTTCACAGGGATATGCGGGCACAGATTTGTTACACCCTTAGCACAAACTAGGATCAAGAATCAGGGCAGGGCTTGGAATATAGCTCGGTGGTAGAGCCCCTTCCCAGCAGGTGCAAGGCCCTGGGTTTGATACTGAGCACCACAAAATCAAACAAGGGATTAAAAATCAAGCCAGCCCAGTGTTCCTAAGCAAGTCCTTAAAAGAAGTATAGGGCTAGGCCTGGCATTTTCAGAACAGTGGGGCTGGAAGGGTTTTCTGAGTGGTGCTGGCCCGGTGAGTGCAAGCACAGTGAGGCAGCAGACAGCTTGCGCCTTCCCCAAGTCGGTCAGCTGCCTTGGAGGCCACTAGGACTGCTGCTGCTGCCCGGGCCACGTCAGGGAGTTGCAGCTCAGCATGTGTGTGTGTGTGCGCGCGCGCATGCGTGAGCGCAGGAGGGGGCGAGGAGCAACACCAGGGATGATGAGTGTTTCTATTTCGTTTTGTTTTCTGTTTCTCCCTCTTTTCTGCAATGAGGATGGATGGCTTTTCCAGTAAGAAAGGAGCTATTACAGTTCAAGTAGCAGGACAGAGGCGGCTCCCCGCATGTGTTTGCGTGGCTGCTACTCTATTTCCTGTCCCTTTCCTTCTTCCCTAGCTGCAGGGCGCCCCAGGGACCTCGAAGGCACAGCTCTCACTGCAGGGTGGAGGCAGAGCAGGGCAAGCGGCCCAGGAGTCACCCCTGCCCCTGTGGCCACATTAATCCTCCCTTCTGTGCTCTTGACAGGTATGAAGGCCTCCTTTATTTGCCTGTTTCGCTGGCCCTTGTTTCTTAAGTCCCTGGGCCCTCTTTTTGGAAGACTCTCAGTCTTCTTGTGACCTTTCGCTTCACATACTACATTTCACACGTGACTCAACATTCTTCTCAAATCCAGAATTGTCACTCTGCCCTGCCTCCTGCTTTGTTTTTTTTTTTT